ACAAATCCAAATATATAGCTAACACCATTTTAACTCCCCACCAATGGCGCCAAAACTTGATCCACGTCCAATCCGCACTCAATAGTTAGTGGAAACGGTCGTTGGAAGACTAATACACAACAAGAGTCGGGATCGATTTCCACATGGAGTTACTAGGGGTATTAGGGATATACACTTGACGAAAGCGAATGGAATAACCAAAATGCACTTCCACAAAAGGCTTTGATTTCTAATTCTAATTTTACTCTAGCAATTATAAGCTAAGAAAAGAAACTAGAAGCGAATGATTGTTTTTGTTATTTTTTCAAATAGTTAAAAAGCCTAGGGATTTGACCATAACCTAAGTGTTCGCCTAATGGGTTAAATAAGTTAATACTTGTTTTGTTGATTGGGGTGTCTTATAGATCTTAACTCTACATTACCCACTCAATACCTCTTGATCAAAGATTGATTTTTTCTAATTTGGCTTTCTCAAGTCCAAATGGGTATCAAACAAAATAGTTAGCTCAAGTTGGGTTCTCACTATCTCTAGTTTGAACCTTTTAACTAGGCTAATTAAACCCTCAATTAGCACAATTTCGTGTTAGCCAAGGTATCCTAGACTAGGTTACTCTTTCTCAAGTAGAGACCAAGTCAAAAAGGCATGAATCAATGTTTGCAACCATTAATTCTAAAATTGAAGCATAAACTAAGCTAAATAATCAACATACAATCATAAACAAACATTAAATTAAGTATCCATAAGGCTTACACACTAGGGTTGGGTAACAACCCTAGTAAAAATTTAGCTACTCATAGTGAGAATTGAAGAAAATAAAGAAGAAATGCTAATTAAACTCATAATCTAAGATTAAAATTATAAAATATAATGTTTAAACATTAAAATAGTCACAAACTCCATAAAATGGTAAAATGTAACGGCTACTATAGCTCAAAACTTCGAAACTTGACCAAAAAATGTGAAACTCGTTTATTTATAGTGGCCCAAAATTCGCTGACAAAAATGCCTCTCAGGAGGCTCTGCGGCTGCACAATTCCATGTGCGGTTCGCGGATTTCTTCAGTTGGCAAGATCTAGGATTCTGCAACTGAACAATTCTGAATTGCGACTGCTAAGCAACTTCTGCGGCCGCACAATTCTTGTGCGGTCCGCACTTCAACAAGGCTTCAGGTCTTGGTCTTTTTGCAGACTCTCTGAACTTTGAATCATTTGTCAGTGTAGACCTTGTTCTGCAGCCGCGCAATTCTTGTGCGGTCCACACATTGGCCAAATTCTTGCTTGGCTATTTCACTTGATCTGCAGCTGTAGATGGAATTCTGCGGTCCACACTTTCTTCTGCGGCCGCAAAAGGTTTCTGCGGACCGCCCTTCTTTAGTTTTGCGCCCTTTCTTGCCTTGTGATTTGGAACACTCATTTTTGAGTTGGATTTCAATATGGAAGACCAAACTTCCAACATTCCTGCAATTTGCACACTTTCATTAGTTTCGGAAACATAAATCAATACTTTCAGACTAAAATAAAGCAAAAAGGGTGCTAATAAGTAGTCAAAATCCACTTATCAGCCACCCATATCCAATATCAAGGTTAGTTAATATATTGCATCAAGAGGAAAATAGGAGCTAAACTCGAATAAGTGCCAATCAAATTGAACAATTAATTTCTGCTTGCTAAATCCAACCAAATACTATTTAACATTATTTGCCTAATAATTTCTACAGTACAGTCAATCCTCTCTATAGCAGCCTCGTTTGTTCTGATATTTTTTAGCTTTTATAATGAATGGATGTTATACACCTATAACAGCATTTGAATTTTAAATATTTTTGGCCATTATAGATAAAAATTATCCAAAAATCAACTATTTTTCTTTTTCCAATGTTTTATATAAAAGATAAGAAATTATTCAAATTTAAAATCTCAAAATATATGCATATTTCAATTATTAAATATTGAAGAAAGCTAACATTATTAATATATTCTTTACTAAACTTATAAGGATTTAAACTCCAAGGCACACATTTTAAAGCTACTTAGGAAAATAAATTCTTTCAAGATTAATGGAAGAACTTTGTAATTGTAGCTTGTTATATAGATTTCATTATCTTACGGCGATATAATACTTGAATTGCTAAAGATTTTTATCTATCCGGACTTAACAAAACCGTCAAACTCTAATTCGATGTCAAATACGCAAAAGTCAAACTTGGTCAACTCTTCTAACTTAAGGCTTCAAACATGAAAATCATTCATCCAAACTAATTCTAAATCACCCGAAAACCGAAACCGACGATACACGCAAGTCATAATATATCATATGAAGCTACTCTAGACTTCAAACAACTGAACAGAATGCAAATGCTTAAAACGATTGGTTGGGTCGTTAAATAATTAAATCATTTATCTGATATTGAGCCCATTTGGATTGGGGAAAAAGAATTTAACATATTCTCTAGCTTCTCTCTAGCCGATGGAGAGAGACAGTTCTGGTGCAAATACTAACGGAGAACAAAATCCGAGCAAATCCTTTACCAAAAAGATGGCAGACAAGATATCCATGATGGACGCGATGCAATCATCAACACTGACAACTGAGGAAGCAGATATTCTCCACCGTAGTACACAAAAGCCAAAAACAAATAGGAGCATAGTAGATCACAAGGTAAGCTTCAAAGACAGAGTACTTGAAAATCAATCATTTGACCATATGGATTTTTATTATGACATGTTTAATAACCTATCTCTTAATGATGAGAACGATAGTCCCACCAATCACCCAAATTTCATACCCATCTACTCGACTGAAAAACAAAGACTTTACAAACCTTAGACAAAAGCCCTAATCAACAAACTCTTAGGTATAAGGATAGGTTATAATCTTCTTCGCACCAAAATACAAAAAAATGTGGAACACCTCTGACCTACTAAAACTTATAGACCATGGTAATGATTTTTATCTTATAATATTTTCTTCAGAAAACTTATACACTACTGTCCTAAATAATGGACCATGGTTTATTGGTTCACAGTTCCTCTCCATCAAGAAATGGACACTGAAATTTAATCCAAACACTATCCAGATTACTTTTTCTACTATATGGGTGCCTTCAAGAGTTGCCTATAGAATATTATGACATTTATATACCACAAAAATTGGACACAAAATTGGCACAGTTCTAAAAATCGACAGTTGCACGGCACACACAACTCGAGGAAGGTATGCCAGACTATGTATCTTAGCACCACTGGGCAAGCCTTGCCCAGGAATGTTATGATTGGTGAATACCTACAGGAAATACACTATGAGGATGTAAACCCTTTATGCATCTCATGCGGGTGCTTGGGCCACAGCCACTATCAATGCCCACAAACAAGAGTCGCCCAACCGATAGAGACGTCAACCTAACAAGCACAACCATCCCAAGACCAGTGAAAAATAGTCACTTACACAAACAAGAGGTACGCTACTAATAAAGCTCCAAAACTAGATGTAGATAGAAAATAAACTTTACATTGTGAACACGAAAAGGGACATCTCCTAAGTCCAAGGAAAAAATAAATGACTCCTCAGGCAACAAAAGGGCATTTACACTTCCCCAAAATAACAAGTTTGTCATCTTGAACGACCGTGTGTGCGAACTCCAAAACAAAAACCAAAAAAAATAACAATTCTGAAATATCAGAAAAAATATCTACTACACACTCCCTATTCTAATTTACTTCAATTTCAGTTCCAACGGAACACAAGTATCCTAAGAAAAAAACCCATAAAAAGTAAAACACCTGCAATTACACAACCTGCAGGGGCCCTACCAAACGTCACCCCAAATGAACAGCCAACAAAATTCCAAGTGTCAAATCCACCCCCACCTCTATCCAATACCACTCACATCACATTTAATGGACTGACCCCTAACGTTCCGCCTACCCCTAAACTTAATCATACCACCCATACCTCTTCTATTGCCCCTAACCCAACCCCTTTGACCTAACACTAGACGCATGGTTACCATTCCCCTATTACCATATCCTTGAAGGAATGCCCTTCAGAAACACCTCACACTCACACTCAACCATCTCAATCGCCACCAAATACCAACACACTTAAAAATACTGAGGCAGTACCACAGCTACCGCAGGAACCACTGCTACTACCAACATCGGAACCACCACTATGGACGCTATCACAAGGAAAAAGAAGACTATCAACCCAAAACCCATCCACAATAACTAGCTATTACTTCCAAACGACGATTATCCTCGTCCCCACAATTATCAATCACCAACTCTACTACAATCAGATGAACAACTATATGTGTGGCCTTATAAACCAAAAGTGGACTACAACATACCACATTTAGCACGACAACAATGCCAATCACTCACATGCAAACCAGTGCTTGTCGACCCTTACACAATAACAGGCGGACCTGATACTAGAAATAACCTAAGGGCTAATCCAAATGATACAATAAGGCCTCTATACCAACGATCAAGCAATAGCAGTTCTACAGCCACTTTACATGCAGGAGATAGTAGCCTTGGATCTTTTCCAACAGATAGGATACCATAACGAACAACAACAGCAGGAACACAAACCATCTACTCAGAACTAGGAGGAGAATACATCCCTACAAGCCAACTGGTTGCTCTTGTCGCCAGAACAAGCTCTATCGGAGAACCTGGATATCAACGATTCCCTAACACTAATAGAGACATCATCCCCTTTAAATATGGAGGAGGCAATGGCTATGGTGCTCGAAACAGAACAACTGATGCCAAACATCCTAGATCAAATTCTCCGAAAATCACACTGCAGGAATTACTGTCCATGACCCTTATTGAAAACAAAGAAAAAAGGTGTTTCATCACTGTTCCAACAAATGTCCTGAGGATAGTAATGAACATCCACACCTACCCACTCTCAATCCTTCACAAATATGCTATCCTAATAATTCCAAACCTGGTAGTGGAGGACATTGTGATGGACCACCCATTTGCGTATGTCACTAGCTTCGGGAGGGAGTTCGAGGATTGTCAATGAGCCCCAGATGAAGATACTCCTTTGGAACTGTAGAGGGTGCAACAGCCCAGAGTTCAGGCAAAGTTTTAAGGATCTCATAGAATGGAACAAGCCCTCCATCGTATGCCTTACAGAGACACACATACAGAGCCACTATGACCTCATCGGCTTTGTTAATTTAACTGACCTGTCTGAGATTAGTACAGATGGATACTCTAGCGGTGCTTCATTAATGTGGAAACAGGAAGAGCTTACTACTGACCTCGTTGCCACCACTGACCAGGAAATCCACGTCAATATCCAAGTAAGAGGCACATCCCACATTTGGCTTTTATCTCTAGTTTACGCAAGCACAGATCTCGCTAACAGAAGCATATTATTGAATAACTTAGAAACCATTGCTAGAAACCATACTTTGCTTTGGCTTCTCTGTGGGGATTTTAATGAAGTAACATCGGCCTCCGAAAAGTTTGGAGGAAGGCCAATTAATAATACCAGGGCTAATACTTTTATACAATGCCTAAACAATCTTGATATGATTGACCTAGGGTTCAAGGGACCAGGTTCACGTGGTCAAATAAAAGGAAAATAAAGGGGCACCAAATTCTGGAAAGATTAGACCGCTTTCTTGCTAACCCGGAATGGGTAGGGATATACCCAAATGTGATTGTGTCTCATTTGCCACGTACGCACTCTAACCATTTTCCTGTACTCTTGAATCTAACAAAACCTATAGGAAAATCACATCACGTATTTCGCTTCGAAACAATGTGGTTAAGCCACCCTAACTTTAATGGTATTGTCAATCACCACTAGGAAAACAACATTAACTACAGGAATGTATTATCTTCCTTCACCAAACATGTTGAGTCTTGTAATAAGAGCACATTTGGAAAGAATCTTTAAAAAAAATCTTACAAAATAGAATACTAGGTATCCAAAATATACATCCTACTCACAAAAGAGACGTCCACTTAGACCTTGAGGAAAAGCTCATTTGCCAGTATAATGGCATCCTAAAAACGAAGAGGATTTCTGGAAACTAAAGTCCAGAGTCCAATAGCTAAATGATGGCAATGCGAATACAAAATTCTTCCACATTTCAGTCATTCAACGCAACAGAAAAAATAGAATTCTAGGGCTAAATGATTCGGTAGGTAACTGGACTTTCGACCTACAAAACATTAGAAGCATTATCTTAAAATAATTTACAGATATCTACACTACTGAATTATCCTTTTGTTCTAAACATATTGCCCATAACCTTAGCACTCTTAATATTCTCAGTGATAGTGATACAGAGTGCCTTAGTAGACACCTAAATACACTCGAAATTCACAAAGCTATTAATTCTTTTAATCCACTCAAGGCACCCGGCCCAGATGGTATTCACCCGATCTTTTTCCAAAAATATTGGGAAGACACATGTCCCTCGATCATCAACATCTGCTCATAAGCTTTCCAAACCTTCTCCATTGACCCGGAAATAAACAAGACTTATGTTTCCCTTATCCCTAAAATAAAAAACCCTCAATACATCACCTATTATCGACCCATCAGTCTTTGTAATACAATCTACAAGACAATCACAAAAACCATATTCAATAGGATACGACCTTTCCTTAAAAAGATTATCTGCCCTACTTAGTGCAATTTCCTCCCTGGTTGACGGGCTATTGATAATGCTATTATAGTTTAAGAAGCAATCCACTCTTTTAAAAAGACCTTCGATGGTAAAGGGAAAATGATGCTTAAATTGGACCTAGAAAAGGTGTTTGACTACCTGGAATGGTCATTCATTAGAAATTTCCTATATGCCTTAACCTTCCCTGCCAAACTGATTACCCTAATTATGAACTGCATCTCAACATCTTCTACTTCAGTAATAGCCAATGGCCAATCAACAGAGGTCTTTGCACCCTCTCGAGATATACACCAAGGGTACCCACTTTCACCCTACCTCTTTATCATCTGTATGTAATCAATTACTAGAAGCATTGACCATGCAGTAGACATTTGTCAATGAAAATGTATCAAACTTAGCCAAACAGGCCCGCCATTTCCCACCTACTATTCGCAGATGACCTCATACTATTCTCTGAGGCAAATGCATCTAGTGCTGCTTCGATCATGAATATATTCAACTCCATCACTCAACAATCCAACCAACGGATAAACTTCTCAAAATCAAATATTATCTTCTCCGGGAATGTAGATAGAAATACACAGAGCACTCTTTCCATAATGCTTTACATTAAGGTAACGAACAATGTAGGGAAGCATCTTGGATTCCCAATCACTAATCTACAACCTAGAAGCTCTGACTATCAATTCATTCTTGATAAAATGAATACAAGACTTAAGGGATGGAAGGCAAATTCCTAACTCAGGCAGGTAGAACCACTCTTATCCGGTAGGTTCTGGCAGTTATACCTACTCACTCTATGTAACTCAACTATCTGCCTACGGCTACTAGAAACCATGTATATCGTATTCAAAGGGATTTCCTTTGGGACTCAACTCCAGAAAGAAAAAAAAGTACACCTTGTTAACTGGGACACTGTGAAATTCCCAAAACAAGAAGGAGGACTGGGTCTTTTTAATTCCAAGAGCAAAAATCTAGCTCTTTTTTGCAGCATTCTTTGACGGCTGCACTATAGCCCCAATAGATTATGGGCACAGGTGGTATGTCACAAATACAAGAAAAGACAGGAATACAAAGACTTCACCACCACTGCGGCTGACTCCTATGTATGGAAAAGCCTTGCTAAAGCTCATCCTTTCTTTGCAAAAGGATTAGCCTGGAATGTAGCAAGTGGAAACCACATCAACCTTTGGAAGGATAACTGGATCATCGCATAGCTGCCTCTAAGGTTTCTCATACAAGGTCCACTAACACATACGGACGGGAACAAATCTCTTACACATATTACAACCAAATTCAAGAGATCTATGCCAACTATGCTTTGAACTACCTACAAATATCCAATCATTAATCCATCACACCTACATATCATTCTCTAAAAATGCCTCGGATAGTTTTTTTTAGAAACCAACCAATGACGGATCCTTCATGTGAGCACGTGATTTTTGCCTTATATGAATTACTCCCATAGTTTCAAAACAAAATAATTTCTTTTCATTATTTGCAACTTTATGGATTTTCGGGGCATTTTCTGTTAATTGTTTGCAATTGTCTGTGCATTTTTATTTTTGTTTAATTAGTGAAAAATACAAAAAAAGGGTGTTGCATGTGCATTTAGGAGTTAATTTTGCATTTTTATAATTGTTTAGTAATTAAGTTGTTTTAAATAAATAAATCACCAAAAAAATAGGTTAATTTGCATTTTTCATTCTAAATATCAATTTGGAGTAATTTTCCTATTAATTGTTTGGTTAATTAATTTTGATAATTATCATTTAGGCTTAATTAGTGTATTTAGGTCAATTAGGTTTTAGGAATTAATTTAGATTTTTATTATTATTTGAAGAAACAAAAAGAGAGAAAAACAACAAAAAGAATTAATTTGGAAAAAGGAAAAGATTTTGAAAAGAAAAGAGAGATCAGATTTTATATTTGGGCCGAAGTTAATTAAAATTGTTAAGCCCAAATCAAACACAGCCAAACCCACCCAAAACTCGTCCAATAAATCCCCACAACCCGGCCCAGACTACCCCTAAACCGGTCCAGATCCCTCTCATCCAAAACGACCCCGTTTAATTGAGAAATGATCCCAGCCGTCAAGGTTCTCTCATCCAACAGTTGGGAAGTTGGGGGTCAATAATATAAATATTTCTAAACACCCCCTACCCCCCTTAGCCTCTCTCACCTCCAAACCCTAGAGAGCCAAAACCCTAGTCGCCCTAATTTTCCCCACCGTCTCCGCCGCCCGCCGAAAATCGCACCACGGCGGCGGTAAGTCTCTGATGGCCTTCAAATTTATACCACAGCTTTGTCTCCCCTCCCTCTCCCCTAATCCACAAATGGTTCTCTCAGAATCCTCCCTGAACGCCTCAAATCTTGAATCGAAGATGAACCCTAATTCCTCAAAAACTCAAATCGTGCGAGTTATTGAAGATTGAGGCCGAAATTGATCTTATTCATGTGTTTTCACCTGAAAACACATGATTAAGACCCATTTCATTCAAAATCTGAGGCTCAAGGAATAACTTCAAGGCTTGCCTGTCCGATTTTAGGTATTTCGAGTTTNCGAAGATGAACCCTAATTCCTCAAAAACTCAAATCGTGCGAGTTATTGAAGATTGAGGCCGAAATTGATCTTATTCATGTGTTTTCACCTGAAAACACATGATTAAGACCCATTTCATTCAAAATCTGAGGCTCAAGGAATAACTTCAAGGCTTGCTTGTCCGATTTTAGGTATTTCCAGTTTTTTTTCCCTTTCCTGCATTTCTTCTTCTTTTTAGTTCAAATTCATTTTCATCTCATCTTCGTCCCCTCTCTTTGTTGCTTTGTTATGTGTTAATCTCTCTTGTTTATTCTCTTTTTTGGCATGATTAGCTTAACCACGAATTTAGCCTAATTAGTTTTGATAACCGGTTCATTTCTCTTTCTATTGTGGAATTTGACTCACTAGAGTTAGTCTTTTGTTTTTCTTTGGTTTGATCTGTTTGTTAATTTTTAGGGTTAGATTAATTTAATCGGGTTCTTGATTTCTGTTTCTTTTTTTGACTTAGTGGTGGTTTTATTTAATTTGTGTAATCAGGCTCACTACTTTAGGATTCGACTAGTTAAACTTTTGTGTGTTTTTCTTATTAATGTGTGATTTGAGCTTGTTTCATTGTAGTGGGTTAAGACTTCTTTCTTGAGGTTTGGGGTAAGGCAGACCTGGGCATTAGAGGACCATCCGTTCAGGCCCAGGTTTGGAATCCAGCTAGCCATTGAGCCAGCCTGACCAAGTAAGAGGAGGGTAATTTCAGGGAACTTGGGGGGCAATTTAGGAAGTTTAGGATAGGGGAATCTTAGGTAACTGATTTAGAAGCCTCTAATAGGGGTCTTTTAGGGAATTTTAGATTTTAACTTGGTTAGCAAGTCAAAAAATCAGGGGCTAAGTAGCAAAAAGGAAAGTTAGGAGTGGTCTAAAATGCAAAACCTAGCATATATTGGTTGCCCTAGTAACTTGCCTATAAAGGCATAGTTACTTGAGGCTGAAGAAAAAAACGAAAATCCAAGAGCTAAGAGACCTAAGGGAGAAAAATACAGAAAAAGAAAAGCTGCTACTGTTCCATTGAGACTTGGTTCTACACTTCGAAATTTTCACTCTCTGAATCATTTCTTTTTCCTTTGTCTGGACTTTGAAATGGTTTAAGGTTTAGTCAGTGAGGTCAGATCTTGGTGTTTATCGAGTTGGCTATGTGTTTGAAGCTGGTGTTAGCTTGCTGAATTGCATTTTACTAGGTTTTGAACTGTGAAGTTACTGTTCCATTGGATTTGAAACTAATTCTGCGGTTCCATCACTGAATCTGGGCTGTTTTGTTGATGATGTCGATCTCTGCTGAAATACAAACTGTTGATCCTTCTTTATTTACTTGTTCCTTCAATTTCAGGTACTCATCTCACCTTCCAATGTA